AAAGTAGTAGCTATATCCCAGATCCAACAAGCCAAGCATCCCTTTCTCTAATCTAATTTTTTGCAACCAATATTGGTGTCCAAAGTTTAGTAGATCTTCTATTTGTAGATTTTGTTCTGCCTCATTGCTCATTTGCTCCTTCAGAATCCATGATTTTGGGAACATTTTCCTATTTTCCTACAACAATCTCAAATTTTGAAAGCTTTATGTTACGAAGAAAACTCTAATTTTGATATTCTTTCTATTTCAACATTTCAAAACTCTAGAACAAGTTTTCCCAGTGACTTATAATGACCAAACAAGAAGATTGCATAGTGGATATATTTCAATACTAAGAGGTATTTATTTAACTGAATGTTTATGTATTATTTAGTTATTTATCTTATTCAAGAAGTAATACCTATAGGCTTATAATTGGTGTAAGTTTATCGTTTCATATCTAATTAGGATCCTATTTAGTTATCTCTGGTATATGTTATTCAATTAATTAACTTATTTTCCTAATTTTGTAGAATTCCTAGTTAGAGTTAAAAAGTCTTTTATTATATTTTTGTTTCTAGGAATCCTAGTTTAATTATTTGGTAGACTATTCATGTGATTGTTCTGCAACTATTGAATTATTAATTTGATTATTGAGATCTGAGACTTCAAGCTTGGTATTCGATAAATTTTCTCTAAACAATATACTGAAGCTCTTATCTATCCTACATCATATTGTTTTCAAGTGAGTCTTTGTATTCAGGTCAAGTGGGTGGCCTCTATGAGTGATGGGCTATATTGACCAAGGGTGGCATGCCATGTCATCATTTTTTAATAACGTGGCATACTGTGTAGCATACTATGTGCCAAGGTTGTTAAATTTAATAGAAAGAATTAATAAAAAGACTAAAATACCAAAAGAATAAAAGGTAGAGTACTGAAGTGTTTGATTTCAAAATTCAGGGAAAAAGAAAAAGGAAAAGAATGAGAGTTCAAGGACCAAAAGTATTTTGTCTCTATAAGAATAACTAGTAGGCTACGGAGAACAACACAATTTCTTAAGCATTTGAACCAGCTATAGTAACCACAGCAGAATGATAGATTGGATGTCAAATACTGAAACATAGGACAAAATTCATCAAGCATTTGAACCAGCACAATGCCAACAACACAATTCTTGCAGAATAATCAAGGTTCCAATCAGAGGAAAAGTGATAGATGAACGTAGTCATTTTTGCATCAATCCCTATATTAACTGCCATGTTTATATAGGTAACATATGATCAACAGAAAAACTGTAACAAGAAAGACTTTTCAGAATAATGAAGAGATACGTCGTGTTATAATAAAACCTGTAACATGTAATTGAGTCTTAACACAGCCACACAGCAAAAGGAAATTGGTAAGAACCTTACTCTAAGCAACTTAACCAATTCTATTGCTCAAAGGGATATGAGCTCCGACAAATTTTAGAAAGATACCATTGAACAGAAATATACTGGCTATCTAAAAAGTATTTAAGTTCTTGTTGCAGGAAAATAAATTAAAACAAAATAAAGCTGGAGCTGCATCTGAAGTAGCAGACCTGACCCAGAAATTCTCTATCAGCGAACAAACTCATTCCGTATCGACAGTGTCACCTTAGCAACAGTTAAAATCTCTCAACAAGGAGTATCAACAAAGATCCAGAGCTCTAATTTCAGAGCTCAAACTCCTCGTCTCTAAGAGCCAATTCAGCAGCCTCCTCTTCCTCCTCATCAAGTACAAAGTACTCATTTCTCTCGACTGGCCTAAACATATAAAACATTACCACATAAAAGACGAGACTGGCAGTTTCCTCTGCAGCAGTGCTCACCCACTGGTACTTGTAAGCAGCAATAGTCTTCAGTGCAAAGACCACAATTCTTGTAAAATACAAATACCCAATTACCACAATGTAAAACTGCCTAAACAGAGTCAACTTAGCCAAGTTCCTGGCTGCCTTTCCGTCAGTCTTGGAAGTCTCCCTCAAGGACCGAATCGACCATACAATGGGGAAAAATAATGGCGCAACAACAGATGATATCAACAAGTAAGAACACCTGATTCCAAGTCACCCAGTCCTTAATGAAGGGTCCAGTCTCCCCGATCACTATGGAGGCAACGTTGGCCAAAACCTGAAGAGGGATCACAATCATCAACACCTTCTTCTCCTTCTCCTGTAGGAAGGGCTTCAAGAAAGACCACCCAGTACCGATCAACACGATCACCGTGAAGAGCAACAACCACCCGAAATAAACTGGAAAA